CTCTCTTCTCATTATGGCATTGGTCTGTAGCTTTTTTTTTTTTTTTTTTTTTTTTTTTTTTTGGTGAGGAAGATTGTCCCCGAGCTAACACCTGTGCCAATTTTCTTCTATGTTTTGTGTGTGGGATGCTGCCACAGCATGGCTTGATGAGCAGTGTATTCATCTGCACCTGGGATCTGAACCCCGTGAACCCCGGGCTGCCGAAGCAAAGTGTGCAAACTTACCCACTCTACAACCCAGCCAACCGCTGTAGTTTTCTGTTTTTGGAATGTGTTTTTCTGGTTTTGGTAATATAGTAATACTGGCCTGATAAATGTGTGGGGAAGTGCTTCCCTGTTTTCTATTTTCTGGAAGTATTTGTGTAGAATTGCTATTGTTTTTTTTTAAACAGGTTTTCCCAGCGTCTTTTTTTTTTTTTGTGAGGGGGATCAGCCCTGAGCTAACATCCGTGCTAATCCTCCTCTTTTTGCTGAGGAAGACCGGCTCTGAGCTAACATCTATTGCCAATCCTCCTCCTTTTTTTCTTCCCCAAAGCCCCAGTAGATAGTTGTATGTCATAGTTGCACATCCTTGTAGTTGCTGTATGTGGGACGCCGCCTCAGCATGGCTGGAGAAGCGGTGCGTCGGTGCGTGCCCGGCATCCAAACCCCGGGCCACCAGTAGCGGAGCGTGCACACTTAACTGCTAAGTCACCGGGCGGCCCCTAATGACTAATTCAATTTCTTTAATTCATATAGGGTTATTCAGGTTATTTATTTCACCTTTAGTGAGTTTTGATAGTTTGCATCTTTCAAGGAATTTTCATTTAATCTAAGTTGTCAAATTTAAGGATGTAGTGTTGTCCCTCCTATTCTCTATGTGATCAGTAGAGATGGCACCTTTTTTATTCATGATATTGTGTCTTTTCTCTTTTTTATTTGGTTAAACTGGCTAGAGGTTTAATAATTTTATTGATCATGTCAGAGAACTGACTTTTGGTTTCATTGATTTTCTCTATTATTTTCATGTTTTCAATTTATTTGATTTATACACTTATCTTTATTATTTTTTTTCTGTTTGCTTTTGTGTGGTGTGTTGGCGTTTCTTTCTCTAGTTTCCTAAAGAGGAAGTTTGTATTATTGATTTTAGATATTTCTTCTTTTCTGATGTATGCCTTTAATGGCATAAATTTCCCTCTAAACACTGCTTTTGCTGCATCTTGAACATTTTAATAAGTTGGATTTTCATTTTCATTTAGTTTAAAATATTTTTCCTATTTCTCTTGAGATTTCTTCTTTGACCCATGTGTTACTTAAATGTGTGTTTTTAATCATCAAATATTTGGGATTTTTCTATCTGTCTTTCTATTATTGATTTATACTTTAGTTCCATTGTGGTTTGAGAACACACTTTGTAGAATTTTTATTATTTTAAATTCATTTAAGTTTCTTTCATGTACCCGAATGTGCTCTGTCTTGAGGAATGTTTCACATGAACTTGAGAAGAATGTACATTCTGCTTTTGATGGCTGCAGGGTTTATAAACATCAATTACATCATGATGGTTGCTGGTGTTATTGAGGTCATCATATCCTTACTAAATTTCTGCCTGCTTCTTCTACTAATCACTGAGAGAGTGTTGAATTTCCTAATTATAATTGCAACTCTCTCTATTTCTTCTTTAAATTCTTTTTTGCCTCATACTTTTTAAAGCCCTATTCAAACATTTCAGATTATTATGCTTTGTTGGAGAATTGTTCTCTTTATCATGAAGTAATGTTGCTGTTCATCCCTCATAGTGTTCTCTGTTCTGGTATCTATTTTGTTTGATATTATGTGGCTACTCTAATTTTTCTTGATTATTTTTGCATTTTGTAACTTTCCTTATTGTTTTACCTTTCACATTTTTATGTATAGTAGTCCCCCTTATCCATGGGGGATACATTCCAAGACTCCTAGGGGATGCCTAAACTGCAGATAGTCCCCAACCTTATATATACTATGTTTTTTCCTATATATACATACCTGTGATAAAGTTTAATTTATAATTAGGCACAGTAAGAGCTTAACAACAATAATAATAAAATAGAACAAGTATAGCAATATGCTGTAATAAAAGTTACTGTGGCTCTTAGCATCCTCAACATCTGATTTTTTTTCTTTTCTTGTTAAGTCAAGAACTTCCACATCTTCACTTAAAGGAAGCACTTTACAGCTTCTCTTTGGCATATCTGAATTGCCAGCATCACTACTCTTGTGCCTTGGGGCCATTATTAAGTAAAATCAGGGCTACTTGAACACAAGCACTGCGATACTGCGACAGTCAATCAGATAACCGAGGCAGCTGCTTAGTGACTAACAGGCAGGTAGCACATACAGTGTGGGTATGGTGGACCAAGGGATGTTTCACGTCCCAGGCAGGATGGAGTGGGATGGTGCGAGATTTTATCACACTACTCAGAACGGCACACAACTTAAAATTTATGAATTGTTTTTTTCTGGAATTTTCCATTCGTATTTTTCGACCCTAGTTGACCCTGTGTAACTGAAACCACAGAAGGTGTAACTGCAGTTAAGGAGGGACTACTGTATTTATAGTTCATGTGATTTTCTTTCAGAGAGCAAATATTTGTTCATTTTTACCCCATTTGACAATCTTTTTATTTTAACTGGTGTGTTTAAAACATTCAAATTTAAAGTAAATTTTGATAGAGTTGGATAAAAATCTAATGGCTTAGTTGCTATTTTGTATTTGTTCCTTTTGTTCTTTGACTCTTTTTTCTTCTTTCCTTCCTTTTCATGGGTTAACTGAGACTTTTTGAAAATCGTAGTTTATTTAGCTCCCTTGGCTTATGGCTCCTTTAAAACAAATTTAGGGGCCGGCCCCGTGGCTTAGCGGTTAAGTGTGCGCACTCCGCTGCTGGCGGCCCGGGTTCGGATCCCGGGCACGCACCGACTCGCTGCTTCTCCGGCCATGCTGAGGCCGCGTCCCACATACAGCAACTAGAAGGATGTGAAACTATGATGTACAACTACCTACTGGGGCTTTGGGGGCAATAAATAAAAATTATAAAAAAAAAAAAAAAAAAAAACAAATTTAGTACTTTCCTTAGGGTTTATAATACACATTTTTAATTAATTTGATTCTATATTTATATAAATTGTACTATTTTATGTGTAGAGTAAGGACTTTACACTAGTATATTCTCACTCTCTCCCTACATTTTGCAACATTGTTGTCATATATTTTAATTTTACTTGTGTTATATAAATAGGATGCATCATTTGTATGTGCTTGTCTGAGAAAATTTTTACTTCTCTCTCATTTTAAAAATATATTCTTGTTAGATATGGAACTTAGGTCTGACTGTGTGTGTGGGGGTGGGAGTGGGTGAGTGTTTATTCAGTACTTGAAAAAAGACATTCCATTATCTTCTTGCTTGCGTGAGTTCTGGTGAGAAATCTGGGGTAATTCTTAACTCATTCTTCTCTGGATAATGTGTCATTCCCTGGTTCTCTACAAAATGTTCTGGAAGTTTCAAAATGGTACATCTAGGTGAATTTTTTTGTTGTTGTTGTTTGTTTATTTTTATTCTGTTTAGTGTTCTAAGCTAATTGGATCTGCAGTATGGTGTCTGACACTGATTTCACGAAGTTTTCATATAGTAAAATTTATTCAGCAGTTTTCCATCTTTCTTCTCTCTCTGGGATTCTACTATGTGTATGTTAGGCTACATGACATTGTCCCACGACTCTTAGATGCTCTTTGCTTTTTTTCTTTTCCTTCTCTCTTTTGTCTTCTGTTTCATTTTGAATAATTTCCATTGAACTCTCTTCAAGTTCGCTAACCCTTATTTTCGTGTGCTGAGTTTACTAAAGAGCTCTTTGAAGACATTCTTCATCTCTGTTACTGTGTTTTGACTTCTAGAATTTCCATTTGGTTCTTTCTTATGGTTGTCACATTGCTGAAAGTACCCTTCTAATCTTTCATATTGTGTACCTTTTCCGTTAGACCCTTTAATATATTGATCACAGTTATTTTACATTCTCTCTATAATTGTTCCAACATCTCTGTCATATCTAATTTTGTGATGATTTCTTTCACTCTTTAGTGTTATTTCTTGCCCTTTAATATGCCTCTTAATTTTTATTGATAGCCAGATCTTGTGTAGGATATTAGAGACTGAAGACTTTATGCTTTAAATATGCTTTCCTCCTGCTAAGCTTTTGTTGTAGTTGTGTGTTAATCTTTCAAGAGTTGGGCTGGGGATGAGGTTTGCTGTTGGTTACTCTGAGTGCACCATACACTTCAAATTTTTGTAGTAAATCTTCTCTTTATGCTGTGGACTGCTTTTCTGGAGGTTACTATCTGAACTTCTCCTCCTCTTAGCTTTGTGCTGTGCCCAAAGAGACTCTATCTCTTGCACCTCTCAAAGGAGTATTCTCTTGTTATTTTTATACAAGACTTGATAGCCTGCAGATAGAAACAGAAGAGGGGTTCATTCTCTAATGTTCTGATCAAGCCTTTATCTCAGGCGTGCACTATATTCCTGAATCTCAATGGTGTGACCTTTACAAGTGCACCTGCCTCTCCTCCAAATGTGGTGCTGAGACTAACATATATTTCTGCTTCTCCACAGGAGTAGTACTTTTCTTCCCACAGGTGGGCAAAACCACAGTTTTTTGTTTTTCTTCCCCTTGTAGGTGAATATGTTTGTTTTGTGGAAGAGAGAGAGGATGTGGGTCCAGACAGTTTCTGTAGTGGTTGCTATTCTCCTCCCCCAGCCAGCACCCCAATAAAAGCTCTGTTAGGATGCTACCTGACTTCCTTGTGAGTGTCTGGTGGAATAAGTGGAAGATAAACTGGCAAGAGAGTGAAAATCCCCTTATATCCAGATTCACACTCGCACACTAGCCCACTGTGAATAATGGCTGAGTAACAGCTTCCCAGAGATGCCTATGACCTAATCACTAAAATTGTGAATATGTTAATTATATGGCAAAGGGACTTTATTAATAAGTTAAGGAGTTTCAGATGGGAAAATTATCCTGGATTATCCAGATGGGCCCAATGCAATCACAAAGATTCTTACAAAAGAGAGGACAGAGGGTAAAACTCAAGAATAGGAGACGTGATTAAAGAAGTGGAGGTTGGGATGATGACCTTTGAAGATGGAGGAAGGGACCATGAGTCAAGGGATGCAGGCAGCCTTGTGTCTGGAAAAGGCAAGGAACCAGGTTGTCCTCTAGAGATTCCAAAAGAAATGCAGCTCTGCTAACACCTTGATTTTAGCTCATAAAATTCATTTTGGACTTCTGACCTCCAGAACTGTAAAATAATCAACGTGTTTTGTTTTAAGCCATTAAGTGTGTGAGATTGTTTCATCAGCAATAGAAAACTAGTAGACGTACCCCCGCCTTTGACAGTTCATTAAAAAAAAGTTGTGTCTTCTTATCAGCTTATATGGTGTCCAAAAGTGTCTGCTCAAGGTGAGTAAATACTTGGATCCTTTTTCTCCTTGTAGTCATCTATTTTTCCCTCGGTGTTGGGTTATTTGATTGCCCTTAATGATCAGTTTTCTGATGAGTCCAAGAAAGCAATCACTTTGAAGTTTCTCCTGCTTTTTCTTTGCTGTAAGGATGGAAATGGTGCTTCTCCCAGCTCCCTACATTTCAAAGTTGAAACAAGAAGTCTGCCAAATCTATATTTAGCAATATTATCCACCGGTGGAATTCTTGAGATTAAATTCGTCTTTTTATTTTATTTGATATATAAACAGATAATGTAGATCATTTAGGAAGTCATATAATTTCATTTCAATTTAAGTCATATATAATAATTTGTGATTTGTTTCAAAATTATTCAGGTATATGCAAATCTCTTCCTTTTGTTTCATGAAGGATGTAAGAAAAATATCTACATAAGTTTATAAAATGTGTTTCTGGATGATATATGCAGTACTTTTGGATGTCTTCATGAAGTAGTTGTGGAATTTTGTACTTATTCCTGAGATATGTGAAACAATCAGATTAAGCGTACTGCACTTTGGTAAAATAGAGGTACCAGAAGCTTCGGTGTTATACTTTATGGTGTTGTTCTTTATTCTAATAGATCATTTGGCTGCTTACAATCCGTGTCCTAAAAGAAAATATTTAACTGTAAGAAAATATTTTAAAATAATTTAAATCAAGTGATACACAAAGCAAAATGTTCTTTATTTCACTTAAAATAGCCAATATTTTATTTTATTTTATCTAGTTGTCCTAAAGTAATAGCCTATATCTCTTACACCTTTTTCTAAAAAATTCTTATTTTGTTTAAAAAAGAAATCTTACCCTTTGGAAAACACAATATTTGACTTGAATACTTGGATATGAAAAATTATCTTCCTATGTTTGTTATTATTCTTTCAATAAATTTATCTTTATTTAATAACTATGGCTGAATGTTTCCTATGCGTGCTATTATACAGTAAGGAGAATTAAAAACAAATAATCCTCAAGGATAGAATATTCAGAAAAATTACATTAGCGTACTTCATATTTTAATTTTTCCTGTTAAATATTGGTGACTAGTATCACTGAATCTGAATCCAGGTCACAGTCTAAAAGATTTTGGTTATAAAAGACAGGCAGGAAAATAATTGAATGAACACTTATTTAGATGCCCCAAACAATCAGTTTCTGCGTATAATAAATGTGTTATCCAAAACGGAGCAAATACACAGGTAAAAAGAATCAAAATGGGTTTATGTTCTCCTTCATCACTAACAGCCCCCACCACTAATACACTATGCCTTATATTTTGTATTGCCTTTTAGAAAAAGGCTTAATAGTATTAAGTTATGTTTTCACACTAATATCAACAGTTTAGGCTGATTGACAGGTATGGTATTGCAAAAGAAAATACTCAGCACATCCTCAGAATGTTTTTTCAAAGGGATCTAACTACTTTTTAGTGTAATAGCTCTAGGCTAAATTTTTTTCAAGTTGAAGTTTGTTTCCAATTCATTTACTCTCCTGGATGCATTTAAATAATAAAATACTGCTACTATTAATAATAATAATAGTAAAATTTTAAGAACTCTCAGAGTAAAAACAATTCTTTAGCCCTAACGAATAAACCTTCATTGATGGATAAAGAATAAACCTTCATTGATGGAATTGGATACCTTTCACAAGGCAGGAATATTTGAAGGAGGAGTCTCTATAAAGACCCTCTCTTTATACCACTGATGATGGGTCTATCTCTAGTCCGTGTCATTGGAACTAGAGTAATGCTGTAGCACTATTGTACACGTGTGGAGTTACTTTCAATTAGCTCAGAACATTTTTGAGTCAATGAAAACAATCCGTGTTTTAATACCAAGTAGACATCGGCCCACAAAACAGTTTCTTTAGACACAAACATATGTGTTGACAGCCATAATATTGACAAAATAGTCAAAATAAATATTTCGGCCAAAGCTTTTGGCTCGGGGTTAATGTTTGATACAAATTGCAGCTCAAAATTGTTTAGTATCGATGTTTTTTTTTAAAAAGATTGTGGAAACTAGGTATATTTGAGATTTATTGAATTGTATTGAACAACACGATGATGGCCTTAGCTCCTTTGAAGTACGAGTGAAGTAGGAATGCAAATCGAGATATAACTGCAAATGATTCAGCATTGGTTTCTCTAATAAGTAGTTATGCATATACAGTTTCAGTCATAAAAGACGAAAATCGTAGCAGAGAAGCATTGAAAGCTTTGTACAGCAAACTAGTGACAAGGCCATTGGTTACATTTTAGGGTTTTAGAGAAATAGTATCAGAATGATTTTTTTTAGAAAGAAGTGCTTTTCCAGCAAAAATGGATAATAATTATAATTAACATTTATTGTATTGTATTCGTCAGAACCGCAGGTAAGATTGAAAAAAAACAAATGAAAAAACTGGCCTTCACAGATGAGCAATTCACAGAAGAGAATGATGCGGATGGTTCTGAAGGATAGACCATCCTAAATCCACAGGATGTGTGTCCTGAACTGAATGCAGAGATCAAAACAGTACCACAGTCAACCAAGTACACTAAGTGTATGATGTGTGACTACAGTGTGTGAGTCACTGTTCTGGGTGCTGGGGATATAGGGATGAAGATAAACAGCAAACTTGCCTTCAATGAACTTACATCTTATTAGCAGGAGACTGAAAATTAACGCAGAAACCATCCAGTTAGTCATTGCAGGTAGAGTGGACTGTGATAGACATAAGGATAATGTGTCAGAGACTGACTCAGGAGAGGAGAAGCAGCTTCAGCTAGGAACGGAAGGGCTTCTTTTAGGAGTTGATACTTGACTTGATCTAATGATGAGAAGAAAGCACCCACGAGGTTAGTGGAAGGAGTGTTCAGAGCATAAAGAGGAGAAAGTAAAAACATAAAATAATTCCCTAGGGGCCGGCTGGTGGTGTAATGGTTAAGTTTGTGCAGTCTGCTTCGGTGGTGGCCAGGTGTTCAAGGGTTCAGATCCCAGGTGCAGGCCTATGCACTGCTCATCAAGCCATGCTGTGGCAGCATCCCATATATAAAGTAGAAGGAGATGGGCACAGATGTTGACTCAGCAACAATCTTCCTCAAGCAAAAAGAAGAAGATTGGCAACAGATGTTAGCTCAAGGTCAATCTTTGTCACCAATAAATAAAATAAAATGAAATAAAATAATTCCCTAAAGTATGTTAATGATGTTTGCAAAGTGAAGCTCTCAGGTGTTATTTTGACTTAGCTTAGGGCTTTATATTTAAATTTTCTTAGAAATATCTAAGGATTTGTCACAGAAACCTTTTCTTATGCAATTAATGGTTATCTCTAATAGTTCCATGACCTGGTGCCCTCTAGCTCTGTCAGGGACCTAGACTTAAAAGATTCATTCTAACTTCTAACATGAAATCAGCATTGCTTTTCCGCTTAGTCTTCCTTGACCATGATTATCTTATATGATAAGTCACCTCCTGTGAGTCAACTTGATTGATCTCTATGGTGATTTTTCTACTGATGGTGTATCCTACAACTTCGATGTAATCACTTCTTAGTTCCAGGAAATTTTTTTTGTGTGTGTCACCTTTTTGGATTATCTACATAGATTATCATGTCATCAGCAAGCAGTTTTATTTCTTTCTTCCCAATCTGTATATCTTTTATTTTCTTCTCTTGTCTTATTGCATTAGTCAGAATTTCCAGTATCATGTTGAAAAGGAGTGATGAGAGAGGGCATCCTGCTTTATGTGTGATCTTAGGAAAGCTTTGAATTTCTCACTATTAATTATCATGTTAATTGCAGGCTTTTTACAGATATTTTTTTTCAAATTGAGGAAGTTGCCACTCTATTCCTAGTTTACTGAGAGTTTTTATCAGGAATAGGCATTAGATTTTGTTAAATGCTTTGCTGCATCTATTGATATGATAACATGATTTTTTTTTTTTAGCCTCTTCATATGATGGGTTACATTAATTGATTTTTGAACATTCAACTAGCCTTGAATGGGACAAATCCCACTTGGTTGTCGTTTATAATTCTTTTTTTACATTGTTAGATTCGATTTTCTAATATTTGGTTGAGGATTCTTGCATCTATGTTCATGAGAGATATTGGTCTGTAGTTTTCTTGTATTGCCTTTGTCTAGTTTTGGTATTAGAATAATGCTGGTCTTATAGAGTGAGTTAGGAAGTTTTCCCTCTGTCTCTATCCTCTGAAAGAGATTATAGAG